AGGATGGTGATGCCATTTACTGAAATGGAGCAGACCAGGATGGAGCAGGAAAAGAAGATTGGGGAAGGAAATAAAAGTTAGAAGTTTTGAATTTGAGAATCCACGTGAAGAGTACAAGAAGGCAGTTGGATTTGTGACAGGTCAACCCAGATGTGATTTTATACATTAACAGGTTGAAATTTGTCACATAGATGTTAAGGAACTAGAACCGTTGTCTTCTGAGCCCTGTTTTAATCTTTAGTTTACTATCATACTCTATAAATATTTTTCTTTAGATTCACTTTAAACTGTTTCAGTAACTGGATTCTTCTGGGAGTCACGTTATCTGTGTTTCAGGAGTTAAATAATTGGAGAAACCACCCAAGAATTATGTAATGTCATTTTATTTATGCATATGTTTTAATTATCTCGATTATTTTCTTCTAGATGAAGATGAAGATGAAGATGATGAAGAAGATTTTGAGGATGATGATGAGTGGGAAGACTGATCTATATATTATATATATATATATTTTTAAGGTGAAATACTAAACACTACTTTCTGTCTGTGGATTCTGTAAAATTATCATGTAAATGTTCTACCAATTTGCTGTATATTTTTGTTGCCTTTTTTGCTTTTTTTTAATCTGTGCAATACCTCATTTAATCTGTAAAGGTTTGTCGTAATCCTCTACAAAGCTACTCCCTGTTATTGTGTGCAAGTTTACACCAGGATGCTCACTTGATTTGTGAATATTTTTCATTCCATCAACAAGGGAGTTTAAATACTATATGTGAGACTGACAAAAACCTTAATGTAATTTACTTATAATGCCAGAAGGAAAACACTATTTTCATACCCTACTTTTTCTGTACCTAAATTTTCTTAAAAAAAAAAAATCTAGTATAGCACTACATTCTTTTTTAAGTGATGCAAACCTTAGTTTCTTTAGCCCCTTTATTTTGAATACAACGCTACATATGAATGTTGAAGCTGATACATTGCACAGTTCTGTAGATATCACTACACCGATGCAGTTTCTCAAATTTTAGCAATATGCTCTACGTAAAATCACTACAGAGATACTAGTGGGGAAGATGAGTAACACACCTCTTACAGCAATACTGCCTGTTATTGGTACAGCAGTGGTATTTGCAGACTGGGATCATAAGGAGCCCTTACATACTTGTTATTGACTGAGTTTATTTTTATGCTGTAGCAAATGTGGCAGGCTCTTTTTGGCAAAATTTGTCAAAATTTTTTTGGTATTACTCTGAAACAAAATTTAAGTTGGAGTTTGGGGGATTTAGGGAGTAGTTTTCATTCTACATGAACTGAAATAATATGATTACAAATCAGAATAGTACTAAAATACTGTGGAATTTTAGCATTTTTATTTTGCACTTTGTGTGGATTGAGGTATTCAGAAATACCAACCATAAAAATCTAATCTAGTTGGCAAAGATACGCATCGAAGCACAGAACCTAACATGCATTTATTTTGATAATTTTTGAGGGTTTTTGTCAAATAGCATGTGAAGGGTTACATTTTTCTTAAGATTGGTGGTCCCAATGTCAAATTTCTTGGAACACATAACTGAATGATAGATTTTTTTTTTTTAAAGATAAAACTTTACAACCTGCACATTTGTTATGCATACTAAATGGTGTGTTAAAAATAGGGTTTCTTTGCCTCTCTACAGTACACTAATCTGCCTAAAGGTGGTTGTTTCATATTTATAATGCTAATTGTCATACCTACCTACTTTAAATTTTAGGTAGAAAATTATCTGATTTAAATACAGACACATATTTTTCTCACATTGAGTCATATGCATAATGTAGTTCCAAATGTATTTCATTACTATAGTCACAATATCCAACTAAAAATTACGCTATCTAGAATTGTACCGACCAAAAACTTTAGTATTGGCAGATCTTGACAGGCTGGACCTGCAAGATGTGGCTTGAATTTTAACCATTTATTACATAATCTCTAGTGATCATGCATCTAGTTATCATAAGAAATAATTTAAAAGGTTTTGTTGCTGAAAGCAGTAAGTGGTGCAGTAAAATAGTTAAGTTATTCAAAGAATGTTATCTTTCTTGCAAGAGTAATTTAAGCACATGGGAAAGATTCTAGACTTTTTGTTTCTTGCAACAACAGTGCCCTCTGCTGCTAGAAACCTTTTTCTACTTACTATCATTTTTATTGTGGCTTTAGCTCAGTGAATCTGGTGCAGATGAGGCTGGACAACTACTAACCAATAAAATCAGGAATTTGTACAAAAGTTAAATGGGATATTATAATTATTTCAAGTAATGTTAATTTAAAATTTTTTTTTTCTTTTTGACAATATAAAAAACATTTTAAATTTCCTAGAAATGTCTTCAGGGTAAGGCCAGTTTAAGATCTCTCTTAACTTTTGGCCAATAAATCCTAGATTTTCCAGCTAACTTTGGTGGTAATAAATATTTATCAGGAGCTTCTCTCAGCAGAGAGTATCCATTCTATGAATTCGAAGCACAATTTTAAACATGTAAAATGGACATATAATTTGCCAAAGGTAATTGGTTTACTCTTTTTTTCTTAAAGAAAAAAAAGACATTGGTTGTTGTTGCAAAAAGTCTAAATTACTATCGGTTGAAACACAGCAGCTGTGGAGTTCAGTCCAGGCATGAAGACTAAATCTGCTTTACCAAGTAAGGTGTAAGGTTGCATGTTTCAGTCCTCTACCATCCTGCACTGTGAGCAGCACTATACCTGTGCGTTGTCTGAAAGCCTCCTGTATATTCTCCAGCTAAATGGTCGTCTGGTAGCCTTTGCATTTAACAAACTAGCATGAGGCTTTTTATATCTAAATGCTACGTGATAGACAATTTCAGCTAGCCACATATTGTATGTATGAGATTCATAAAGACTTTCAATCATTTCATTTTCAAACAACTGAAATTTTGTTTAGTATGTGAATTCTTTTTTTGAAATGTATAGTGAATAGGATGTTGCACTGGTGGCAATTCATCATGGAGCATAATAAAATTAATTTGACCCAAATAGTATAAAATAATGTGTTTTATTTATTGTCAAAAGAGTCAAATAGGTTTAATTGTTTTTTAACTGTATAGTGAAGGGTACACAGCAATCAATGATAATGGTTGATGTTTTCAGCAGACTGCATGCCCTGAGAGTTAGAGTGTGCCATTAAATAAACATGGTAAGCAGAAGAATGTTACACCCTGTTCTGTTGGGAAACATGACAGCTGCTCAGCAGCTCCCCTAGAAGCCACTGCTGTGGTTTACAGAGCATTCACATTGCAAGGTCAAACTGTTTGGAGCTCTGCCACATACCAAAAATGTTGAAGTTTTCTAAATCATAATGATATTGGAGTTTACTGGTAGTTTCAATAAATGCCAAATATAGCAGCTTGTAATGGGACATAAGTAGCTTTTAATAAATGATATCAAAGAGGGTGCTCGTTTTAAACAGGAAACTGTGTTTTTGATAAATAGAATTTTCTGTTTCACTGACTGGAACAAGTGGGTGTCTGAAGATTAAACTGAGTTGCGGAATTCAGAGTGTAGGATGCTACAAAATTACTTAAGAGCTTTGGCCAAATTTAACAACCATTTCAAGAGTAATACATTCTGTTAAATAAAAGTTGTTTCTGTTGTGCAAATGTGAACACTTAAGAATATATTAGACTTTTAAAAGAATTTTTTAAAGAGAAGTGAAATATGCCTAAGAATTGTTTCTGTCACATCATTTTTATCTAATGAACAAAGGGGATTCCCGAGATAACTCTTGTTTTAGAAACAGAGTTCCTAAAGGACAAGTATAGAGATAAGGCTTATTTATAGTACACTAGAAAAACCTTTATGGAAATGTTGGGAAATTTTACTTTCCACCTTTATTGACATTGTCACGTCTCACCTCCAAAACACAGCATTCTTTATAATCTCTTGGTCATTTATTCATGGATTAAAAAAAAAAACAAAACTTTGCTTTCTAAGGAAGCCTCTGGGAAAGGTATAGTACACTGTTATGAATATGTTAGGGAACATGCTTTACAGCCACCGCCTTTACTTCTGTATGTAATACGTGGCATCCTCCACTGCCGTGAGGAGCCTATTGAAAAATTTGTCTCCGGGTGCATCTGCCATAGGTTTTTCCAAAAAAAGAAAAGCATCAGAGATTGTGTTAACTGTTCATACAGTGTTTACTATTACCCAAGTCCAGTGTAACTCTAAATTGGCCATGCACACCATCAAGATGGACAAGTCAAGAATAGCACACAATTATTTTGAGTAAAACATAATGGATTATAGTTTATAGGTGGTTTCAGTCTAATCAGATATTTGTGTATTGGGGCATTTTTAAAAACTTGAAGTAGTCCCTGAATTATTTAACAACCACAAAAAATCTACCTTAAGATTAAAAAAAAAAAGTATTTAGCAAAGTTCAATTTCAGCAGTATCAGATTGCATATTGGAACTTGAACAAAACACTGTTTTCTGTCTTGAATTGGTTAGCATTTCTTGACCTAAATTTTGTCTTGTCTAGCTATTGCTAGAGGTGTGAAGATTTTCATCAAGGCCTAATTTTAAGGATTTTTAAAAAATCAAAATCATCACATTTAATTATGAACTAAATGTGTAGTGGACATTAAGATACAACAGTGGATAGGATAGGTCCCCACCCACATTTACATCATTTAAATCTAAAATACTTTCTTCATAAATGAAAGACGTTTGGAGACCATTGAGTTATATGAGAACAGAGGCATGTGGACACCACCACGCCTATTCTCTAATTTTGCAGGTGAGAGTTCATTCATACAGTGCTTGTGGGGCTTGCCCGAGGTTAATTAGAAGTATCTTTACTAGAAGCCAGATCTGACTAGTTCAGCTGCTCTTTCTCATGCACCATAATCCTATTGTATGGCTTTCTCTTTTTCTTAAGGATAAACTGCAGATTTCATTTGTTTCTGAAAGATATATGGCTACAAATGTCACCCTTTCTCATATCATCTGGGTGTTGGTAGACGCCGCCAACATCCTGTGTCCATCTCTAACCAGAAAAGCTAGCTTGCTTTGAGGAGCCAGCCTCTGACTCTGATGCATGTGATTGTATTTTGGCTCATTGGTGGCAGTCACCCTACATTGTCCAAGCATTTGGTCATCACAGGGCATTTCTGTCATCTAGTACAGAGTTGAAATGAGGTTGAGCTTTTCATTCTACATCCAAATTATTTTTGTCAAGTTACTTACAGATGTAAATAGGCATTGTTTTTACTTAGACATAAGTATAAGTCTTTACAATCAACTTGTCTGACAGAAAATTAGTTTAAGAATATATTAATTTTCTGAATAATACTTGATCAACAGCTGCACTGTCAATTTAAAGACCGGGAGTTCTTCCAAGGACCACAAGGACAATGTTTCAAATCCAACTTTCTGGCTTTATTATTGATGAGAGAGAAGGAGATCCTAACTTGGTTGCATGTATTTCAACCTTACTGGAAAAGAGGCAGGAAAATAAAATGTGGGTCTTGTATTTGTGAAACAAATACAAGAAACAAATGAAAAGGCATTATGTCCGGGTAACTATGGAAAAGCAAAGCTGTTCATGTCTCAGTTCTATAGTTGTCTTAAAGGCAAGTATAATTTAGCTCACTAAGTCAGTGTCTGGCATAAGTTTTTTTTTTAAGCCAGGGTGGGAATCTAAGGAGGCAGAGAACAGAAAGGAGAGTTTGTGTTTGTAAGCATATTTTGGTGATCTGGGGAATGCTCAGCAAGTAGAATTAAGAATGCAGTTGAATTCTTAATTAAGAATTAAGAAATGCTGTTGAATCTCCGTTTTTAGGGACAAAAACTAGTTCTAGAGGGGGAAACTCATATTTGTGTTTTGTTTGTTTATTGAGCAAGGATGTGAATGCATAAGGGCCAAACCTTTTCTTAATTTTGGTAGCTAAAGCTCAGAACTACACCTGACCATTCAAGTGTAAGGGTTTTTTCTTTTTCTTTTTTTTTTTTAAAGTTTTCTGAATGTTGTGGATACAAGCATAGTCTTAGTATTTCAACCACATTCTTTCCAAACCACCATTAAATGGACCTTAGGATTCTATTTAAGAGGCCTTGCTTTGGCCATGGTTGAATATCTGGATGCTCTAGAACATGCTTATAATGGACTTGCTGCCCAGAGATGTTTAGGAAGTTCAAGTAGATTCTGAGCCAGATTTAGATCTGCACCAGTGCCCTAAAGTTCTATAGCCAACATACTGCATTAACTTGACATGGTTTAGGCCAGTTAGACTGTGCAGAGAGAGGTAGTCTGCACACACTACATGAGCCCTTTAGCACCCTGTTTGCTTTAGCACTTTCATCACTTTGTTTTCCAAAAACTCAAAACAGCAGAAAAACTGATTTGTTATGGGAATCACTGTATTTTTCATGGTTTTTTTGGTTTGTTTGATTCCAAATTGTCTAAATCATACTAACCAAGATCATTCGACCAGCTTAGGAAAAACAAATAGATTGTGCATTTGAGTTCAGTTTTGATTCTGTAAAGACTTTGCAAAGACTACTTCACTAATTATGTACTACTGTTAAATGGTATTTGATAGGTTGTTGGAAAAGATAGGGTAACTTCTATGTACAGAAAAAAAGAAATGTAGTTGCCATTACCACTGCATGGCAGGTTAACACTTCAGTGTAGCCTTATCTTGTATGTTGGTCTTACCTTGTGATATTAGGGTTGTGGTAATGAGCCTACAAGTGAACTGCTTGCCATAATAAACTTTGGGGTATGTTTCAACTTGTGAAAAACTATCGCCCTGTCTTCACATTGGTAAGATTTTCCACAAAATTGAGGGTAGACATAGGCGTTGTAAAACTAAAGGAATTTTTTCTGAAGGTTTTCCCCAGAAAGCTTTTAAATATACACGTTTCTTAAATATTAATGGGAAATGGTGACTAAAACAAGAAAGAACAGAAATGTAAGGAAATGTTCTCTTAATATTCCTGAGTCTTCAGAAATTTCCAGAAGTATGATTTATTTTCAAAGCCAATGGATAAATGCATTTGAATGCAAGTATTACTCTGATGTCGTATACTGAAACAAACTATTTTAAATGATGATTACTGTAAGTTGGAAATAGACCCCAGAATAAAACAAATCTCTCTATGTACTAATCTCTAAGATCATGGTAATACAGGAAATTCATGTGACCATATAATGCTAAGTCCCATTGAGAAATCAGGCTTTTTTTTTTTTTTTCTGTCACTTCCTTAGCAAGTATTTATAGTTAAGTTCCCTTGACACAGTGGGATTTGGGATAGAAATTATGCACGGGGACCAATTGGGAAAGAATGGCAAAAAGGCATGCATTGGTGGAGAAGTAAAGGACAGCTGGAAAAGCTTGACACTCTTGGAGAGGTACATTGGTTGTGTGTGTGTGTGTGTGTACCAACAGCTGAGGCCACTTCCAAACGTGCAAAAGCACAAAGCCTGTGTTAGCAGGTCACTGGAGAGGCCAGTCTTGGAACTACTTCATGTTATTTAGAGATTGTCTTAGTATGCATGGGCAAGAACATTTGTGTATATTGATGTATATAAAATATTTATAGAACCATCGTGACCTGTGGAAATTTAAAACAACTTGCTAAGTACAAGGAGAAGGAACTAATGTATAAATTATTCTGTGGCTGACTCCATTTAGATCGAGAAATAGCTTTTTATCCATAGGTCATGATTCTTGGGAGGTTTACATGACTGCACTCAGCATCTAATCTAATGGAAAAATGTTGGTAAAATAAAAGGGTAAGGAGGAGATTTATATTTGTAATTGTTACCCACAAGACTGATAATGGTTCAGTGGTGAAAACAGGCTAGTTGGAAGATTTGGTGGCTACAGGCTGTTTTATGCAAGATGGTTCATATCAAATTGCTGCATAATTTATTTCTAAATATGAGAGTTTAAGTCACTGATGTAGGAAACACATATCCTTGAATCATTTTGTCAAAGCTAAATCATCTGTTTGTTCTCTTGTAATTGGAAAAAGGGACCATTAACCATGGAATTTTGGACATGCAGAAGTCTCTGTGTCCAACATGCTATTGAGAGAAATGTAGGTGGAGGTGGCATTTTTAGATGAATATCTATTCTGGAAGAACTAGCCTGACTAAATATGCACCTTGGCAATGGAATTAGGCAGCTTGCTAGAGCTTTTCCGGTTCTCTTATGGAGGAACGTAAATCATGCTATATAAAATTCAAAATGTAGAAAACTGTTTTTCTCAACTGTTTGGTTTCAAGACCTAAATTTCCAATGGCTTTTTTTTTTCCCTGCAGCATCTCAAAAGATAGAAACTGCATGATGTTGAACAGGCAACTAGAAGAAACAACAGGTTTCAGAGAATCATGGCATTGCTTCTCAGTCTTCAGTTACTGCTTCTCTTCAAAGCATTGCTTTACTTTTTCTCTGAATATTATGGTAATAACCTTCATTCTGCTTACAACTTGGAGAAATTATCCAATGCAATTTTGTTTTATAGTTTCTGCCATTCTCTCCTATCCCCCATTACAGCAGTGAGTACGAATTTTCAGGTGCAGGTATTAAGAGGGCAGTGGAGGGGGGTGGATATAAAATGCACAGAGGAGGATTTGTTTTTTCATATATGGGTTCTATAACTTGTAAGCGAATAGATACTGGAGGATGGGTGAAACTTTCATGGGCTTCTTGTTAGTAGTAACAAGAACACCTTAAAATATGCGTCCTGCTTTGCAGTGACAATATGTGTATCAGTCCATAGTGGTATTTTTCTAATACACAGTTTCCAGAGGGCACGATTGAGCCACTTAGTTTGCGTTTCTCAGTGTACACTGCTCTCTGACTTCCTGAGGGTGGCATCCTCTGGCCCTGTCTCCTTTCTACAGAGGTGGTGGTATGTGGGCTGTCATCTAGTTTCAAACTGGACTACATTTTCATGATGGTGAAGAAGCCATTTAGAGGGGCTTCCAAAAGTCCCATGGCTGTGCTCACCCCACTCCCAGACCTTCATCACCAAAATGTTTTTCCTTTGAGGAAAATCATGTTGAAAAGAATTCTTGTAATACTAACTAGTATTTATGGGAACACTTATGAAGTGTTGCATGCTACATGAAATGGTTTCTATAAGCAAGATATCCCAATATTTTAGCCAAAGCAAATGAAACCTAGATTAAATAATTTGCACAAATTTAAGTAGCTAATAATAAATGGCAGAGCTGGGCTTCAAAATAAAGTCTGTCTTAATACAAACCGTTCACCACTATAGTACCCTGCCTACCAGGTAGCATTAAGACACCAGAGATGGTCTGGATGCAATGATAAAATGATTATTCCAATTACCTACTTCAAATATGGAGGGCTTGGGATTTTTCTGCTTATGCACATGCAAAGACCCAAAGAAAAATGCTGTCACACTGATTAAAAAAAAAAAAAAAAGCAACAGAAAGGAAAATACATTATAATCATGCAACTAAACCAGCAGCCACTAAGGCAAGTTTTAAGATTAGAACAGCCCCAGATTTTTGGAGTACGTTAATAGAATTTTTAAAATATTTTATCTGGTTTGCTTATCCCTGATCCCCATTCCCTACTTCACCAATGAAATATTTTTTCCACTTGAAATATTAGATTAGGTAACTGGTATGTTTGAGTAATCCCACATGCTTAATAAATGATTACATAACAATTTATTTGGCATTACCTCAGAGTTTTCTTTGTGAATTTAGAGTAATCTCTGCCAATATGTCTTCTTAAGTATTTCATATTTATTTTATACTTTTGAATGAACCCAATGGTGATTTTTAATTTAAGGAGGTCAGGAACAACTTGAATTTGTTGCTTAAAAAATAAAGTTTGAATTTCTTTAAAAACAGCTTTTATTAGTGACAGCTTCTGAGGCAAAAGGATTGTAATCCATCCCAGCAAGTTCTAACAGGTCAAGATTCCTGTTAAATTTTCTATAAGTGTCTCTGCAGACAGTCACCAGAAATTCTTGGCAGCATTTAGAGAAAAAGTTGGTGTTATTTTGCTCCTCTTGAATGTGATATTTTCAGTTGCTGCTGGTTTCCTGCATAGTCACCACAACTCCCAATTGCTAACATGTTGAAAAAGCAAGAACTGCAGAAGATTGAGGTATAACTTCTAGAAAGA